CACAGTCATCAGATGGGGCCCTGGAATAGGTCATGGTAGCTGTTCTAATATCTTGAGCCTCTGTGCCCTGGCTTGAAACAATGATTTTCAGATTTATAACTTTTTAAACAAATTAAATCTTATGTAAAACCCAACAAAGCTAAGCAAAATGCAGCTCTTCTGGCTTTGGTAGGCTGGGAGTCCTGGAGCTCTGCCCATCTGGAACGCTCTCCCCACCATGGACCTTGTGTGTGCTTCAGCTGTCCTTTTTGCTGGAACTCCTCAAGCCCCTCTTTCCTGGGCCCAGGATTAGCCATAGGATTGGAGAGGAAAGAATGAGAAATATAATGGAGACTTTACTTATTTTATTTTATTAAATGAACAAAGCTCAGGGACCACTGTCAACTTGGTGAGAGGTAAGGGGATTTTTTTTTTTTTAGTGGGTACTATGGGTGCTGAGAATGCCACAAACCACACTATATTGGTTATACATACTTGACCCACTCAAAAGGCTCACCAGGAGTCACCTCAAACTCGCTGTCAGATCCTCAATTCTTCTCCAGCTTCTGGAACCTTCTTTTCTCTACAGGTGGACTGGAGTGAGCTAACACTCATCCAGGCAGGGACATCTCTCAAATCTGGGCCTGCTGTTGGATTCAGAAGAAAATCTCAGGCAAGGGAGATGGATGAGCAAAGGCATGGAATTACCTAATGATACAGTGTTGATGGCTCACGAAGAGTAACCATCTTCTCGGACTCACCAGAAGTTCTTGAAAATGCAGATTCCTAGCATCAAACACTCAGAAAGTAGGGCCAGGGAATTAGCGCTTTTAATGAGTGCCCTAACTGATCCTTATTCTCGCTACATTGTCAATAAGAGCCCTCCAAAGTTTTTGAACAGGGGAGTGATGTGGATGCATTTGCATTTCAGCTAAGTTACTGAGGCAGCTACATGGAAAATGCATTCTGGGAGAAGAGATGAAAGGAAGAGATACTAACTAGCTGGGGAGCTGCTGCATGGGGGCTGCGGTGTGGAATGGGTAGGAGAAAAGGTTAGGAAACCATGTGGGGGTCAAGTTCACGGCCGATCGGGTGTGGAGAGTGAGCGTGAGAGAGCAGTCGGGAGTGAGCCTGGGGATCTGGCTGTAGTGACTGGTTTCCTTTGACCCAGTGGGCCCTTTGGCATTTAAAAGGTGAGGGTTGTTTATCACAATCTGTCCTATAAAGTGTCACAGGAGCAAATTAATAGACGACGTTGCTGTAAGATCAAAGCGGAAGAATTCACATCTGCAAAGAAAATCTAGAGGGTGTTAGTTCACTTTGTAAAATAGTACAGTTCGGAACAAATTTCAGCAAAAATGGTCTGATTTGTTTGTAGTTTGGGAAATGAAATGAAAAGGATTGTCTTAGTTATAAAGAATATCTCATTTCCCTAATAACGTGAGAATATGAGTAGAGTGGGGTCTTATGTGTAGACTCGACCTTACCAGAGGGTTAGGCGTGGGCGGGAGGGAGCTCCGCGGGCTGCCCGTGGTATATGTCATGATCCAGGAACCAGATGAGTAAATCATAGATCAAGCACTGGCAACATCATCAACTGTGATGATCACCTTAGAGCAAAGCTTAAAATAAATATTAGAGGTTTAGTTTAAAGCAACCTTATCCTAGAAGCTACAGGGAAAGAAAAAAAAATGAAGTTGCACAATCATTTAAAAATATATGTGCTAAGAGAACTTCAGCATAAAAAGACAATCGTAAAACAACACAGGATAGCAAAGTCTTACGCCAAAGATAAAAATCATTAACGCCAGGGGACACTGAATGGGGGTCACTGGACAGTCAGAGCAGGACACTGTAAGAGCAGCTGTGTTGACACTTTGTCCGTTCAGTTTTCCAAGAATTTTAAAGGTCACCCACTGAAGGTCTCATTTCCAGTAAGAGTGGACTGTGTGAGCGGCTGGGAGCAGCTTTCTGAGGGCCCCTCGTCCTTGAGCCACTGGAAAGCAACGTCTCTGTTCGCTCTGGCTAAGCAGGAGGCAGACAAATGCATAGCTCTTCATAGCTTCCACGTGAGCTTACACCTGAGTCATCTTTTATTTATGTCTTCCTATAGCATTTCCATAAGATAGTTGTGGCCAGCACCATTCATCAGCCTAATGGGCTCAAATGGAACTCTCTGAAATCCCCCCGAGACATGCCTTGATCTAAGAAAAGAAGAATTGTTAATAGCACTTCTTAAACTAGGGATTTATGTCTTCCCATAAATTGACCTTGAGAGGTTATTTGTGGATTCCAATAGGGAACTGGCCTTCTTAGGCCCCTGCAGCTCCTCAGCCCTCCCCCACTCCCCACCCCGACTAGCGGATGTCCTCTGTCAGCTCCTATGAGCCCCAGCATCTCTGCGGACAGAATCATGGCTGTGTCTTGGCTTCTTCCTTCTGCCATTTGCTCATTCGTTCATTGAATATTTATTGCACACCTGCTTTGTCCAGGCAGGGTGTTAAGTGCTGGAGACACAGTGAACAGACTGTCTATGCTTGTAGACTCACCACCTAAACAAATGCTGATGACTACAAGTTCTTCTTAAAAGGCAACTGTAAAGTAAAATCAAGAGGCGTAGGTGCTGTGAGTCTCAGAGTGTTTGGTGGGCTTTGTTGCCTCTTCCCTCCTGTGAATACAGGTCTTTGGGGGGCTGACTGTGTTTAGGACAGATCTCTGAACACACCCTCAACTGCCACCCTTTCACTCCATCCTTCGGTGTGAAATCGCAAACTCAGGGGACACACGCTCTGCCTCTGACCACACCTGCCACTGGGTAGAATTCCCTGGTGCTCTGCTGTTCACCTAGCTCCTGGCTCCTTCCTCTGACTGCAGCCCACTTACCCGGTCCCTGTGACCTCAGGCTCAGGTCCCTGGGGAGACCAACAGCCAGAGGACCCTCGGAGTATGAGGGAGGAAGGGAGGTCCAAGCATCCTCATGGCAAAGCCGGGTGACCCTCCCACGCAAGCTTTGGTTTGTTTTACAATATGTAAATCCCTTTATAGTTTTCTAATGATGAAGGTGAAAACATACATTATAATAAAAGCGAACATTTCAAAAAGGAATAGAGTAAAAGTTCAATGTAGTCTCATCTACTTTTACATTACTGCCGTAAATAACCACTTTAAACAGTTTAATGTTTACCATTCCAGATATGTTTAGGTTTATGTAAACATATATGTTTATTTTATATTGTCCTACATGTTTATATTTCCAATAATTGACTCGTTTTCATCTGACAGTTCATCACGGACACTTTTCAGGATAGTGCATATAGATACCCCTTATCATTCCCAGGTGCCCATTTTCCCTGTAAAAATGTACCACACCTTCTCTGTGTCAGTCTCCCATTAACGAGCATTTAAGTTCTGCCATATTTTGTTGTAAAAACCTTTTAAGGATGAATATCCTTATACATACCTCTCTGTGTCAAATTCTTCTCAGAAAGGTATTTCGAGACTAACAAGCATTTTTAACAGGTTTTTATGCACAGTGAGGCGATATGCATTCCATAGAAACCATACTTTGAATTTTGAATTTTGATCTTTGCTTGGGCAAGTGATGTGCCATACGATACTCTCTTATGATGCTGGGTAGTGTCAGCGAGATGATTTTGCCCCGCTGGAGGCTAATGTAAGTGTTCTGAGTATGTTTAAGGTAGGCCAGGCTAAGCTGTGATGTTCGGTAGATTGGATGTATTACAGGCATTTTCAACCTAATAATACTTTCAACTTAAGATGGATTTATCAAGACATAAGTCGAGGAGCATCTGCATATTCCAACCTGGGAACTGTGCACATCCGCTTCCCACAGTGGACGCAAGTGCTTGGAGTGTTTTTGTTGCTGAATCTGTTTGTTCCAGTTGAATTTGTTATTGTAATTGTGACATTTGTTTAATTAATACACAAGCCAAAGAAGCACAAAGGGGGGAAAGAAAGGGTTAGTGTAAAAAAAGTTTAAGTTGTGTCTTTCTTATTCCCAACTTGAACAATTCGAATAACCACCTACCCCAATCATATCAGATACACTGGCTCAGTGGCTGCAACTGATTCGTAAACTCCATCAACAATGTGACCATTTGTGAGTTACAGCCACCCCTGATTCACTTGGCCGGTACTGTCTCTGGAAAAACATCTCGTAGCTGTTAGGTTTGTTTGTAAGCTGGATTATCTTTTCTCTTTAGAAATACCTAGAAACCAGACATGTCTTATCTAAGGTATCAGTGTAATCTGTCTTGATAGAAGTTGATGTTTAGCCCTTTTATTTACCCCAGCAAGCCATGATAAGTTCTTGTAATGCCTACAGAGACACCATGTTCAACCTTCATAGAAGAGAAATAGAAAATCTAGAAATCACAACTGTTGCCCTTGAAAGTAAGATGTCTGTAAACAAACATCCTGTCACTTTCTAACCTAATATAGCATTAGAAATGATTTTACAGTCCTTACAAAATGTATAAACCCTTTATGTGACTATTGTATGCACTTAATAATTTGTTGGATGTATAGATACACAGAGAAACACATTTCTGCAGGTTTGACCGTACAGCGATCTCTGATTGAGTCGGAATGAATTAAGAATATTGAATTCATTCGACAAATATTTGTTAAGGGCCAACTGTATACCTACCAGTTGGCTGGTAACTGCTGGGGCTACAACGAGTCACAGTGGGTACAACTGCTCTAGAGTTGTTTGTGATCTATCTAGCTAAAGACTTCAGGTCCCTGGGAAACACAGAGATGCAGTTCACACAACAGAATAAGCACGCTCTGAGATGCTCTGACTGTTTGTGTACCTGGCTAGTGGAACATGATGATGGTATGAAGCAAAAGAGAGTATTTTCGTGACATCTATGAGTTCTCGACACCCTCTCAGTTACCTGCTCGTGTAATTCAAGCATCAGTTTTACTTACGCTGTGTGCTGTTTGACAAAGCACTACAGAGACTACAGAACATCTCACTGCTGTGTTTTCTCTTCTAGGATATCAATGAGTGTATTCTTGAAAACTATCCCGAGTGTTCCAACCCCAGGCTATTTTACATCATTCCGTATTTTTGTGGACAGCATCCCAGATGCAGGTAAAGACCGAAGGCTCATGTCATGCTCACGGGGAGAACTGCACTGCGTGGGAATGTTTTCTGTCCCTCGTCTCTCAACCTTCTGGAACTCAGTTAATATTTACCGCTAATCTTTGAAGATTGCAGTTGAGACTCTGGATGTCTTATAAATAAAGAAATTAACAAATCAAGGTCTGACAGAGGCCTTAGGACCAGCCCGTAACACTGTGTAACTGGAATGCCAACCAAACTCTTTTCTATACTTAACACGCAGCTGTCACGATGCAGCCATGAGACAGTAACGACCAGGGCTGAGCACTAGCCTGCATAATGACTATATCTCATCAGCAGTTGTCCTTGCCTGTGTGCCATGACTAATCAGGTCTGAAACACTGGAAGCTCACACCCCAAATTCGATAGTGTCTCTCTCCTGAGACATACTTTGTGGAAAGAGAACAAAATACTTTCTAGTGATTGCCCCTCAGCCTTATTGGGATGCGAGAACTTCATGGAGGGTGTTACCAGATAGTAAGGAGCCTCAGGGGATGGTCTGCCCACCTCCTGCATCAGCATCCCTGGGGGACCTGTTAGGAACCCCCACCTAATCACAGTCTGGGCTGGGAGGAGGCCTTTGTGACCACCTCCCAGTTGATTCTGGTCTAGCTACAGCTGAAATGCATTGTACTAGACAAAGTGTAGCCTGGAGAGGAAATGGCAGTAACCATGAATGCTGTCTTGGCTGGTGGAAAATAAACCCTGTTCCCAGGAGTGACATTTTTTCCCAGAGGAAACATGATTAGAAGGTCACAGGGTTCCTGAGGAGGCGAAGGGGAGATAGCCAGTTCTAAACCACAGCTCGTTCGCTCTTTTTACCGACTCTATAGTTGGTGCATAATTATTACGTGCATGGTTAGTGCTGTTGCGTTGAGTGTACCGTGACACAAGGGTTTGTTTATGGTCAGAATTCTGTGTCAGTTTCCTGCTTCATCCTAAACCTCCTGAGTTCAGAAGGCCTCCCCGCCCTCCTCACGCCCATAATAAATGCCACTTGGTTTCGGGTCAGTGCTTCAGATATTGAGAAAATTTAGGGCCAGATGATTCACTTTCTGTCACGATGAAGATATTTATTCTGAGAAACATGATTCTAATTAGCTCGAGTATTTTTTTAATTATCTCTTTCCTAATCTCAGGGTGAGTACTCATGATGTCTTAACTTGGTTTACCCATGATGGTTTTTCAAGACTCTTTCAAAATGTCCCTTTGTTCTGCCTTGACAACAATTATTTAAGCTAAGTAAGGGTTATCATTACAATTTTTTAAGAGGATCCTGGCTTGCCCAAATTCCCCCAGATGGTAAATGCCAGCCAGGCCTGAGCCCCAACTCCTGTGGTCCCCATGTCTTCTCACTCACATACATGTTGTCCACTCGAAGATCTGCCCTACAAATGAGATGAGGCTGTTTTCCTTCTGTAATTAAAATCAATCAGTAAATAAATACATAAATAAATACATGCATAAATAACATTTGTCTTAAACTCTTTAAAAGAATGTGATGATTACCAGATATGACCTAACACCTATTTTGAGTCCTACAGAAATATTATGTCAGTAAGTTTCATATTTCAAGACTTCTCCCTTTATTTAAGTGGTTCTGTTTGGTCTTCCCATTAAGAAGCCATTTCAGTCACGCCTTGTTCCGTATTTAGTAGGACTAGGACCTAATTGCATGTGCCTGTATCCTTCTTCCAACAAACGTTTAGGCTGGGCTCACCAGGTTCAAGGTCCCGAGGCACGGGTGAGAGTGATCGAGGCGGGAAAGTGTGGCGGGCCGTGGAGGACCAGCGCAGGCTGCTGGAGGCGGCTACATCTGAGCTGGTCTCTGCAGGAAATGGGATTTGGACTTAGGCAAATGGGGAGTGGGCGAATAGAAGAGACAAACTTTCAGCATGTTGTTGCTGCTGCATTTTGAAAATGAATCTTGGATTTAAAAATGCTTTTTCTATCCACAAAGGGAGCCTGGTGAGTGGGCCCTCGAGAGAGCGAAACTGAACGTGAATGAAAACTTCCTGCTCGTGGGGATTCTCGAAGAGTTGGAAGATGTGCTGCTTTTACTGGAAAGATTTTTACCTCATTACTTCAAGGGTGTGCTCAGTATCTACAAAGACCCAGGTAACTCTGTTTGTAAGCGAGCTTATTCTGTTTCAACTGTTCCCTTGAAAATGACTCGGAAAATAAAGGAATGAAATCATTTCTTCTGTTAATGAAGAAAAAGTTCCTCTGGCTTGCAAAGCAAGGTTAGAATCATAAGGTGTGAACAACGAAAGCTTGAGCTTCAGGTCCAGACGTAAGCTCACCACGTTTTAAAGCCTTGCTGGTTCCATTTCTGCCTTTGGAAAGGGAAATGGGCAGCACTTCTGCCAGTCTTGTCCTGAGCGGGCTGCCGGGGTGAACTAAGGAGCGAGCTTGTGCGTGTCTGGAGTCCGGTGATGGAAATGTGTGGGAGTGTCAAGGAGCCATCGTGTGAAGTATCTCTGGCCCGACCTCCATTCCACAAAAGCGCTCTGGTGAACAAAATCCTGGCAAATAGAATAGACAGAGCAGCAAATTGAAAATACAATTATGGTTTGATTCTGACAAATGGAGCGATTTCCAGATAGAAACAAGGGAGAGAATGCAGCAGAGCAATTCCGCTGCCCATAATGTCACCGTGAATATAATCACTTTCAGAAATCTGTCACTTAGTTTTCTCATTGTTATTTTATACCGAAAGACAAACAGCATTGTTTGTTTCTTTCCTGTCCTCCTTAACCTAGTGCTGCCACAACAAGCCTTGCAGATGTGTTCACTAATCTGTTTATTGTTTTGTTTTGTCGACCAGAAATGGGGGGTGGTAGCATTCTGCCTTGGAGAAATAAGGAGCAGTTGCAAAGCTCCCCAAATGCAACCTGCTGCCTCGCATTTCACAGTCAGGCAGGGACCTCGCGCCACACCTGAGTCACTGGCAGGTACCAATGCCCAGGTCCACTGGATCCCAGAGGAGCCCTGGACCCTGTTCCATAAGGCAGCCCTACACCCCAGTGATTTGAGGGAGGAACATGGCTGGCTAGTGGATGCTGCCTTAGTCTCTCAACCCTCGCTCAGAGACAGATTCTGAGTACCTACCCACAGGAACCTGACCCAGAGCCCTGGTGAGCCCTGCAGGTGTGTCTCCTCAGCCGGAAATGTGGTCTCAATAGCCAGAAACATAATAAAGCCTACACAGTGGGTTTTTGAAACTAGGTCTTCCTTTGCCCTGTAAACAACAGGCAATTTAAAGAATTTAAAGAACCCCGCTGTGACTAAGTTTTTAGTTCTATAAGACAAGATAACCTCTGGTCTTTGTGCAAAGAGGGGTCTTATCCTAAGTTAGATGCCTTTGATGAAAAGGTTTACACTATTGTTATTTCCCCTGTTTGGCTTTATCTTGTTGTATAACGTGTGTGTGGCCGGGGAGGGATGTGGGTGTGGGTGTGGGTGTGTGTGGGTGTGCGCGCATGCACCCACATGTCTGTGTGATACGCAGTATGAGATAAAAGTTTGACTTAATCCTGGAGACACATAGTTGTCAAATAAGATGAACATGCTCTCGTCCCAGCATTTGGAAGAGTAGCAGTGAACCCACACCACACTCATCATCCATCTTGGGATCTGGTTTCAGAGCCCAGGGTGCCAAAGCCCGGCACCCCAAAGGACAGTCTTGGGGGTGTGGGCCTGAGAACTTAGATAAGGACATTTTTACCTTTGCTGTTCTTAAATATAAATAAACCACAAATAAAAAGCATACCCCGAAGAGCTTGTTTACTTGCTGTTTTCAGGTTATATCATCTTGACTTCCCAAATTTTTTACTTAAATACATGACTTCTCAGAAATCGTGGGCCTTGGTCCCATGACCTGTATGCATATTCATTAAAGTAGAACATATTTCTGAAAATTGAGTTACTGTTAGCTCTTTCGCCTTCAGCTGCAGTCTTTCCACCTGTAAATTTAAGAATTGTTTTCCCTTTGAGTATGTCATAGAGGTATACTAATACGCTGAGGCTTCTTGCTTCAGAGAGAATAAGGGACGTCTAATACTCCTGTGTAGTAGGAGGAGAGGTTTCTATAAGCCCAGGGCCAACATGTGGCCAGTTCACACAGTCCAGCTGCTTTAGTGGTTAAAATCATGAAATATGTCTATACTGCCTTCAGCTTCTGCCCTCCAGTGCACCTGCCACTCTGGGTTCCCTTAACCCCCTCCTCCAACAACGAAGTAATGCAAGGGGTAATTCACAGCACACGGGGTCTTCAGAAATCTGGCCCTTGTGACAATCGGCAACCATTCAAAATCAGTTTCTGAGCGGAACTGGTTGTTAAATCTTTTGAATATCACCTGGAATCACTCTTCAGCTGCCACATGTCATGTATACAACAAAATGAATCTTCGAGTGATTCTTTAGTAACTTTCACTGTGTTTTGTGGTCTCTTTGGCAACTTCTTGAGAGATTCTTCTATGGCGACACTGAGGGCCAAGAAGCTCCACAGTTGCTCTGTCCCAAGGAGTCTCTATGTCCCTTGAGGCAGGGGACAGGAGACGAGCATCCGCCCTTTGCCAGCTTCACAATATATTTTGGTCTCTGCAAAGACTAGGCACCTGTACTGTTTTCTTGTAGCCAAAACCCAGCAAGCTGGTGTCAAGGAGGTGAAAGGAAGGGCCACAGCATGTCACTTGAGTCATTCACCTTAGAGCCTCCTTGTCAGTGTATTTTTAATGGAAATCCATGAATTTGGGCACACTCAAATCATTGGTCCTGTGCTTTATAAAAGAATTGAAAACAAAGAGAAGACAAATCTAAGGCACTGAGCCACCTAGTGACTCCTCCTTGTAGATTAACAATGCAAACAGTCCACCTGCTGTTTCTTTGGTGCTTGTCCTGTTATCTAAAACAAATTATCTAAGAAAATGCAGGTGTGTGCTAGATTTTAGTAACTCCCTTCCGGCAACACAAAAAATATTTAGACCAGTCTCATAACTGATAAAAGCATGAATAGTAATCACTGTGTGGGGAGCTGGTGAAAACAGTAACATCTGTCATTCAAATTGGTTGTCACTTATTCTAGATTAGAATGGTATTAACTTTTTCCAGGCGGTACTACTTATACCAATAACCTATCATTTAGAGAAGTTAATAACTTCTTCCCTAAATAACTGATTGACTTTTTGCCCCCACCCCATCCTGTCCATTTCTTGCGGGAAGTTATACTGAATCAGTAAATTGTCTCCTACCAAACATACCTGAGAAATTTAGTCTTTAATTTTTTAAAATTTAGAGTTGTTTTATATTAATATTTGTATTCTTCAGAAGAAGTTTATGATAGGGAGCACTCAATATGAAATAAAAATGAAAATTTTAGCATAGTGAGTAACCAAGAGAATATGTTCAGGTGTTTCTTACTAGCCAGGGGGCAGTTGCTGATGCTGAGACAAATATCGGGGTGGGGGGAGGAAGGGGGAGGTGAGCGCTCAGTAAACTCCACACCACCCAGGTGTGAGTCTGAGTTAAGGGGAACAAAGGCCTAAACAGATTCACTGGGTGAGAATGGCCTCATTGGTCTTACCTATGTGTCTTATTTTTAATCAATTAATCTTGAGTACATTTGTTCATGACCTACCTTTTAAAAATGATAAACTGAAGTCAACCTCCTCCTCCCTCCCCCCCACAAAAAAAATGAAACTGGAGAGACTGATCCATAGTTATCCACAAAGCTATGAAAGTAAGGAACAGAACTCATATGCTTCTGAGCTGTCAATGCTTTTTTTCCTCCTTAGATTTTAAAAACTGACACGCTGCAAGCTATCAATATTTTTCTTAGTCATAATTTCCTTGGGAGCTAAAATCACAGTGATGTTAAAGGCCAACATAAGTAAGCAAACTGAAGACAGTGAATGTTTGTGATGGGAATGGTCCTTGTATAAACGTCCTTCCTGTGAACCCTCCACTGGGCAAATAACTGAGCTGTGCTAGTTCAATAGCGCCACCTAGCATCCAGACATGGAACTGTATGACCTGAATTAACCCATTTACCTTCCTTCTTAGGAAACGGAAACCTCATATATCTAATCCTTTTCTCTTGTATTTTAAGTATTTTCCATTACTAGCATTACATGAGTATTCATTTCAACCTCTTTTCATTATAAATGTAAACATTGGAGCCGCAGTACGGATTGATGAAACTTTTGTGGGCTGCCTTGAGAATCCGGCCACCAACTATTACAAAAGAAAAATGTGTATTTCCAAACAAATGACTAATTTTGAGGATTTAACTTCATTCATAAATTGGGTGCTTTGGTTTCTTTAAAAAAATTTTTACTTAAATATTTTTGTAAACAATGACTATAAATAGTGTACAAACTTAAATATTATTGTTTTACTTGGCATGAATGATACTTAGACTTCTCGTTCGGTGTATAATGATGTATTCTCTGAATTCAGTTGCTTTGCAGTATTAAAATCTGAAGGCATCAACATAGTAAATAGTAGCAAATATGTAGAAGAGAAATTTTAATATAGTATTCTCCAAGAAAAATTCAAGTTCTCATCTATCAATAAAATGTCAGACTGAGTCCGGGCAAACGCTAAACGATTAAAGCTTGGCCTATGTATCATAAAGAACAGACATTCTTTGAGGAAAGAACCGCGGGTTAGGAGTTGGGCTTTCAGTCCCCTTTCTGCTATGATTCTGCCCACATGACCTGGGGCAAGTCCAGCTTTTGGTGAATGATCTCTAAGGTCTATATTATTATAATACTAAAGGATCATCTACAATGTTTTATGGCTGCTCTTTCTACCTTTTGTTTTTAGCATAATTATAGGGTGCTTACCCCTCGCTCCTCAAAAAACCCCACTGCCTTCGTGACTCCCAGCTTTAGCTATGGAGGCTGTCGCCACCTAGAGGACGCCACAGAATCCCGGATGGAGGGTTATTCCTTCAGAATCCGTTCTTCCCTAACACTGATGATGTCGAAGCGATCAAGGCAGGGATCCCAGCTCAGACTCTCTGGTCATGATGTCCATCCCTTTCTTGCCATACCTTATGCACTTCTGTTGAGAAGACAGGATGTCGTGATTAGAGCACAGGCTCTGGAGTCAGC